GGGAAAGAAAGAACTATCTGAAAGTAAGGAATGATTAGGTGTTATATGTCTGACAATTAACAATCTGGAACAAGACATGTCTTACAAGTGACTTGGGGGAGGGAGGAGAAAGGAAAATGTGTACCAGTGAATGAAGGAAAACTCAATCTTTCTACAAACTTTAACAAAACTCACAATTTTTAAAAAAAAAAAAATTAAGAAGGCAGGGCAATCATGGAGTTGCACAATTTGATGGGTTGAGGGAGGGATGGGTAAATACAATGGGAAAGATAAAGAATGTATACAAACTTTGTAAGTAAACCAGTATAAAAGAAAATTTTATTAAAAAACCAAAATAGTAACACTTGAAAAAAATGAGTTACTAATAGTCATGTTGTTATTAGGGGCCATTGAGTAGATCCTATGAACAACAGATCTGAACCATATCCTATTCTGTAGAAATTATCTAAAATACAATGTACATGGCTGGTTATATCAAATAAATGCAACTGAAAGATTGTATAAAAAAAGTAAAAGGAGAAAAAGGAAACAAACAAAGCTACTATGACATTTAAATATATAAATATATAGAGTTCATTTTATTTTAGATGTTAATTTTAAAAAAATTTAGTGTGTTAATATTTATAATATGTCTAAATAATATTCTTTGCATCACTTAAATTTGAAATGTGAAACTTTGTTTTTTGACATAAAAGAGTCCACAAGTTTTCCAATTTATTTTGGAGAAACATTATTTAAAAAACAAACAAACATAAAAGAATTACTCAAGACTACTGCCTTAAGGCTGTAAACTTTCAATCTTTGGCAGGGCTGATTTGATGGACAGAACTCTGATTAAATTCCACTGAAAACCCAGACTTTGCTTATTCTGTAAACACCTCAACAAAACCCATTATTGTTCTAGTTTGGCTTTTGCTCTTTCTTTTCCAGCTGGGATCCAAACATACAGAACTGACTAATAATGGGAAAAGATTATACAGTCTTGAATGACTCATTCAAGGACCTTTAGAACATTTGTTTATACTTTGTTTTAGAATCAATTGGGTGAATTCTGGATTGTTTAGGAAATGAAAATTGCAGCAGAATAATAAGGATGCCTGAGTATCAGCTCTAACTCATTGCTGTAGGTCTTTTTTTAAAAGAAAAAACAAAAACAAAACCAAAAAACCCACCAAAACCCCAAAAACAAAACAACCACAGAAAGACATTTTAACATATTGATGTAATTTTTGAGTCATTAAAGAGCCTTTCCTCCGTCCCTTTATCTAGAATATTTTCTTCTCTTCTTGTAAATTGCTGTTTTGGGACACCTCTTTTTTTTTAATTTTTATTTTTATTATTTTGTATGTGTGTACCGTCAAATCGGATCTGACAGGTACAGGAGATTGTCCCTCCTTCTACGGCAGAGCATCTGGTGGATTCAAACTGTGTTCCTCTGGGATTGCAGTGCAGCTTCTTGTCACTAGGCCACCAGAGCTCCCCCGGGACACCTCTTTTTAAATTATTTCCTTTTTCTTTTTTATCTCCAAACTTTATTGCACTTGATCACGATCTGGACAACAACTTGTCCATTTCAACTTACAGCAACCTCAAAGTAGAACTGGATTTTATAAGCTTTTCAAAGTGCTGACTTTTCAGTGGATTGTCAAGTCCTTTCTTCTGAGATGCTTCTGAAAGTTCTTGACTCTCTAACCTTCAATTAGCAACCAAATATGTTAACTAGACCACACAGAAAGAAAGCCCCTTCCTCTGGAAAACACCTCACAGCTTTTCCAGTTCCTATTCCCTGATTTAGAATGAAAGCTCAATTCATATTAGCAAGCCGACACTTACCACCACATTAAAATTGTGTACCCTTCGCTATACAATCTCTTACCTCTTTTCCATTTTGGTTACCCTGCAAGACTAGGTCTTCTTCAATTGCTCCCTATGGCAAAGGTATTTTCTTCCCCTCAACTTGCTACCTAACCTTTCGAAACAGATGAAAAGCCATCTATTGCTGATTTTGACCAGTTCTAGTCTCTTTAAAGTTTTAATTCTATCTTTGTACTGTACGTAATGGAATATCCCAGCGATCCACCTTCAGAATCGGGCTCAATAAATATTTGTTGGAAGTTTAAGGGAAGCTATGCAGAAATAATAGATTCTTATACAACTGCACACTAAAAGAAAATTCAGGAAGAAAAAAAAAGAGTCTCTTTATTTGATATACTTTTATTTTTGTGTAACTCCCTGTGTATTTTTCGTATTCCCAGGAAGAAATCCCAAAATAATCTTCAAGTTACCTTCTTCCTCATGGAATCTATAGAAGTACAACCGAACACAATAGGTTTGTTTTTCCAGATTGTCAATAAAGATATTGAAGATAATTGTTTCTAAAACACTTTTTTTTTTATTTAGTTTGTTTATTTTTCATTTCAATGAACATCTACAGAGATTTTGGAATTCCATTCATTCATTGTTGCACCCTTCTCCCCGCACAAGCCCCCCCCCCCCCAAGCCCCCCCCCCCCACGTTTGCTCCTCTCCTTGAAAAGCAAAAGAAAAACTCCCTCACTGGTACACAATCCCTCCTGCACCTCCCCAAATCCCACCCCCTACCCCCAAATATAATCCACTCTGCAACCCTCTTTGCGTACACCTACAATAAAAATAATGCCCTAAAATATAATACTTTTAGACTATTCTCTCCCCCATAGACTTCAATGCCGTAAACATATTTCATCCAATTTTTCTCAGTCTTACCCCCACCCCAATGCCAGCCTCATTCTACAACAGTGGCACCATATAGCATTTGTCCCTTTGTGACTGAGATACCTCACTCAGCATAATGTCCTCCAGAGTCATCCATTTTGAATAATATTGCATGAGTTCCTTGTTTTTCAGTGCAGCATAGTATTCCATTGTGCGAATATACCACAGCTTCTCTACCCATTCGTTTGTTGATGGGCATTTAGGTTGTTTCCAACTCCTTGCTATTGTAAACAAAGCCTTGATAAACATGGGTATACATATATCTACTTGGATGTCATTTATGGTCTCTTTAGGGTATATTCCCAGTAGTTGAATTGCTGGGTCAAATGGTATCTTTATTTGCAACTTTTTGAGAAAGCGCCACAACGCTTTCCACAGTGGTTGCACCATTTTACACTCCGACCAACAGTGAATAAGGGTTCCAGTCTCTCCACAACCTCGCCAGCATAAAACACTTCTAATATGATGCATCCATTATAAACTTATGTTCAAAGAGACTTTTCTGGCTCATTGATTGTTCAATCTCAGAATCTACTAGAGAATATTTAATAGTGAATGAGTGAAGAAATGGTTGGGTGTGAATTTGATGATTTTCTAAAATATTTTTTAATAATTATTTTGGCATCATCTTCTAGATAGTAATTTAAACTTCCTAAATGTATAGAAATTAAGAGCATAATATTTGATATTTTTCTTAAAGACTGTCACATCAGCTTTGGAGTCAGATTATCTTCATCACACTCTGACTCTGTGGTCTTGGAAAATCAGTTGCGTGAGTCATCTATGCCTGTCTCTGTTAGACAGCAGCAACACCTCGTCTCAGGCTTGCTGTAAGATAAGGCTCATAATATAGGCATTCTATAAATGTGAGTCACCACTTTCAACTACTGCAAGCTTAACTCGTATTTGAGGTTAATGTATAGATATGGAAACGAAAATATTATCAGAATTATGATATCAATTCCCCACTTTTCAACTCAGATAGGGTCATCATCATCCCTCAGCTAACACCAAATCATTCAGCCAAGGCAGCAGTGTGCTCTCTGTGACAGAACAAGAATGTAAAAATGCCGGTGCACATTTTGTAAATAACCAGACCAGTCATAGTATAGTAAAAGAAGAATTTTAGGTTTCTTTGGTGAAACAAAAAGCAGATATAAAAGTTACAAAGATTTTAGATTTTCATTCACAAGGGTAAGAAAAGGGGGAAAAAACAGTCATTCACATTTTACACTATACAAGTTATAATATAAATACAGGAAAGTATTATGTGCATTGTAATGGAAGAGGGGGGAAATCCCTATTATGTCAACGCTTGTTCTGCATTCTAGAGCACTCAAAGATGGGGTTACAGTTAATGCACCAACAAAGGAAACTTGCTTAAAGACACTTTGTGTGACTGTAGCTACTGTTGTTCCTTCTAAACTTAAAAAGATTTCATGAAGAAGAATCAATACTGAATCTGCCTATTTGTTCTTTTTCTATTTTATCTGTCATCTACTCCTCTCAAGGTTACTCTCACTCAAGTTGGGGAAAGATTCCTAAATGCCTTCTTTCCATTACAGGTTTTTCTTTAAGCATTAAATTAAGTGGATAATGATCCAAAGTCAACTCCAATAGCTGCTTTACTCAAATAAAAGGAAGAAATGGAGCAGGAAGTGTTAGGAAGAAAGTTCAACACATACTTCATCTACTGGAAAGAAATGCCAATATTATCTCTCTATATATGTTCTTTGCTTAGATGGGGCAAACATCATTTGCTGAAAGCTAAACACTTTTCCACTCTCTTTGTAATAAACACTTGACACATTCTACCCATCACATTAGTTAATGAGGGACAAAATACCTATATTATATGGTTTCAAAGCATGTGAGGAAATAGAAAGGCTAACACTGAAAAATAACTAGCATACTATGTCAATTTTCAGGTCTTGGAGAAAATAACATCCAATAAATTAAATCAGTATGGCTTACTTCATTTATTTATGTATGCTTCACAGCTGCAGCATTCATACATAAACATTCAAAACTTTATAAAAGATTAAAATGGTTATATATACAAAATTTCTTTCTTTGCATGTGTTGTTTTAACAAGTCCCCACCCTCCGGAACCCTAGGTCTATATCCATTTGAAATGCATTGATCTGTAACCTTGCAAGTTAGTGTTGTAAAAGCCAGTAAAAAGGAGACCTGGTTGAGTTAATAATTAGCACTTTGACCCCTAAAAAAAAACAACAAAAAAGCTCTTGGCTGTAGAAAAGTCCTCCATTCAAGCCTTTCTTGTAAGTGAAGAAAAAGGAATGCAGCAAAGAATAATTCCATCTTGCAGCGCCTAGTTGCGTCAGGAGCCATGAGTCACACTGCACGGAAGCTCCCTGCACCTTTGGCTGAGCTGGGTGCAGTAGCCCACAAGACTGCATATTTGTTAGTTGTCCAGGGAAAGGCGTCCTCAGTCTTGCTGAAGTAAAAAGGGCAAGTGAAACGATTTCCAGCCTAAACAAACTACATAAAAGCAGCCGAACCAATGATTAAAGACCTCAGGGGCCCCATAATCATAATTAAATATGCCTGACCTCAGTGTGACTTTTTATTTTATATACAGGATTAAAATCAACATTAAATCATCTTATTTACATTGCCATTGGTGCTGAAATTGAGCGCTTTTTTTTTTAAATAGTACAGTAGGCTGGTATACATTATAAAATGGTTTGCACCGGAAGCAGATAGAAAACTCAAGAAATTAGATAGGCTGGAAATGGTTATTTTCTGCCCTCCCTTTCTTTCATTTTGCTGGTTCTCTGGTTGCATGCCAATCTTTCATTTGAAATGTTTGGGGGGGCATGGCAACCCCAAACGACTGGACAGTGATCCAAGAACTCCAAACAACTTGTAATACTTCTCAAGGTGATAGGAAAGGCACAGGAAGTTAGGACTTTGGCTGAAATGATGAAAACACATGTTCGCCACTTTAGGGATCAGCGCCTTGATTCCTGCCACCTCCGGCTCCAACGGTGCTCATGTTTTGAGGAGTTTATAGAATTGTCCTTTGCTGATGAAGAATTTTTAAAGTATTTCTTAGAATAAGTCCTTTGGTATGCAGATGCTACATGGAAGGAAAGAAAGAAAGAAAGAAAACACAATAATATTACTTGCTCCATACCCTAAACTATCAATACCGCAGCCGTAAAATGAGGGTTTCTAGTAGTGGTTATAGCACGGTTGTCCATTCTTTCTAAAGTACCACTTACGGTTCATGCAGGTAATTTTAGGCATAGCCCATCTTCCATTTCCTAGGCATCGAATGGTTGGAAGGTGGCGCTGAATGAAACCATCTTTGCATTGATATCTAACCAGGGAGTTGATTTCGTAACGAGGTTTCATCTTTCCAAAGGTCTTGGCATTTTCTACAACAGGGGGCTGGCCGCAAGCAACTGAGGAAAAGCAAATTGGTTAATTCTACATAATCCAAATATTTTAATTAGCATTCATTTTCTCTGATGTACTATATTGATAAAAGCATCTTTATCAATGACAATCATTTAAAATCAAGAAATGGTTGTTATTTTTAGGAGAAAAAAATTAAATGTTGAGGTTCTATCGCTTGTTCGAATACTAGATTGTGTCATCTTGAGGTCTGTTTTAGTAAAGGCCACAGGGATAAATAATCATACACCAACCTATCTATTTTGCAGTACTACTTTTTCAAGAATCATCTAAAATAAAAGTATATGTCCTGTGCTATTGTCAGTAATCACTATCCTAATGTATTCATTATTCCTTTTCATTTAGGGCAAGAATGGATTTGCAATGTTTGAATATTTCAATAATTTCCCTGGGAAAAAACACTTATAATATATAAAAAGGATGATAGTTTCAAAATATGGACATACCTCTTAGATACAAATAACACTCCTCTAATTTTATTTTTTGAAAGCAGAAGTGTAAACTGCTTCCTAAACAACATGCCTCTGGAAACTCTATGAACTATGATAAATGTAAATAGCTGTAGAGGGGATTCAGGCCTTTTGTTCATAGGGTCGCTATGAGTCATGCTCAACTCGAAAGCAATCAACAACAACAACAATTTTATTTATGCTTACTTGCTCTTCTCTGCTTTCTGGATACAGATAAGGACAAAAATAAGACATAGTATTTCTGTTTCACTTTCCTATTTCCCTTATAAATTTGTACTTCAACTCCTAAGAAAGGTCAAACTTTAATGATTTATAAATTTACAATGAAAAATTCTAAATATCATGGAAATTTTTATAAGTAGAAATATTAAAGAAGAGTCATGCTAGTTTAAAATGCAAAATGCTGAAAAAATGGATTCAACAGAATATGTGTTTACCTAAAATTTTTAACATTCATGTACTTAACTGATGAATAAAATGTAATGTTACCTTATAAAATTAAACTTCTATTAAGTGATCAAAGGTGGCATAATGCATTCCATGTTGGTCTGCTAACCAAAAGGTCAGTAGTTTAAATCTACCAGTTGCTCCACAGGGAAAAGGCAGGCAATCTCTTCTTGTAAAGATATAAATCTTTACAAGCCTCAGAAACTTAACGGAGGGCACTATGAGCTGGAATTGACTAGAGGGCAATGGGTTATCAAATAATTGGGGTTTAAGGTTATTTTTTAATAAACATATTTTAACTTGAATATAATCCACTTTAAAATCCTTAAACTCTAAGGCTAAAAGACATGCATTAATACCATGCATTAAAGGTAAGACTTTTAAAAGGAAGAATGATTACCAGAAATCTGTGTGTGAACATATTTCTGTGGACATTGTAATATTAAATAATTATTTAAATTTATTCACATTTCAAAAAGCTGTTTATAGCCACATTCTTTAGCAATGGAAAATTCAGGCTTATCTTCAATAGTTTCTCTACATTGCTTCTGCTTGACAGACATATACGGATAAAATTATATATAACAGAATAGACAAAATGAATTGCCTATTCTCATAAAAAAAAAAAAACTGTCACATAGATATACATAGCCTAAAAGAAAAAGTTCTTATAACTGAGAAATTTGGAATATTTTCATGATGTTTGATTATACAGGTGTTTGATTTTTATACTCACTTACCAAGGTAAACTGAGATTGCTATAGTAAGGGCTCGTTGTTAAATTACATTGTACATATGGTTTAATGATAATCCCAATCTGGATACTTGGCACACTTCTCTCATTGTAGCATTAAAAGCCTTCATTCACTAGGGTTGATATGAAAACAAACAACAACACAAAAATCCCAAACTCACTGCTATCTAATGCATTCTGATGTAAGTGAACCTTCACAGGATTAAGGGTGTAAATCTTTAGGGAAGCAAACTGCCCATCTTTCTTCTACATAGTGGCTGGCAGATTTGAACTGCCAGCATTATGTTTAGTAATGCAACATGAAACACATTGCATTACCAGGGTTACTTAGCGTTATAATAGTATCAATATGATGAAGCCAAAACAGTACGGGGTGGTTAGAAATTATCAGTGAGATCATTTACTTTAATGAATTCTATGTTATAGTGACCAAATTAGTAGTTGTTTTTATAATTACAGAGGAAAACAATTTCCTTTGCAAACTAAAATCTATTACAATATAAAACTTTTTAAACTATTTTGGTATAAAGAAATATCACAAAGTTAACACAATTTAGTGACTGTAGTGTCAGTACAGACAGGAAAATAGATTAGAAATAATTCACACATAAATGTATGCTTGACATTTGACAGAAGCAAAACGGCAAAGCAGTGACAGGTAAAGTAGTCTTGAAAAATAATCATTTGAGAAAACAAAAATATAATTAGTTCCCATCATCAGAGAATACACAGAAAGTCAAACATAGATGACTTAAATATATAAATACGAAAAATTAAACCATAAAACATTTGGAAATTAATAAACAATATTTTGATTACTTGTATGAAATATACAGGGTTTTAGTTGTGTAAAATTAGAACCATTGTACATTAGGTCCTTATGTGTATTCTTGCTTTGAATGAGGAGATGCAGACTTTAAGCCTTTGTGATTGTGTTTCTAGGAATATTATTCTGTGAATCTGTTTTACCGATGTTATTTCACAGTTCCAAGCCTGTTTGTTTGGAAGTAGGAATGGCATCCACTTCCTATTAACTTTCATAAATGGTGATAGTTGTAGAAAGGTTTCAGGCCTTTTGTTCATAAGGTCGCTATGAGCTGTGTGCCACTCAATGGAAATCAACAACAACAAGTAAGTATAGGGTGGTTGCTGTGCACCACTGAGTTGGAAGCAACCCATATAGTTCCAGTGAGTTTTCAGAGGCATAAGAGATAGTCCATCACTCTCCCGCTAAGCGGCTGGTGAATTCAAACTGTGCATCTTTGGGTTGGTAGCATAATTCCTTACTACTAAACTACCCAGGCTCCCTAAGGATAGTATTATTGCTGTTGTTATTGTTGTGTACCATAGTGTCAGAATCGACCCATGACTGACTCTCCAGCTAGTTTTCAGAGGCAGTAAATTGCATGAAAATCGAAAGCCCATCTTTCCCTTGCAAAGCTGCTGATGGTGAATTCGAACTGCATACCCTGCATTGGCAGCACAGTTCATTATGTCTAAGCCAGATCTCCAAAAATAAAAATAAAGCTGAGAGGGATCGATTCTGTGACTGGAGTGGTGGCAATAAGTGCCTTCAAGATGGCGAGGTTGGCACAGGATAGAACGGCGTTTAGAGCTCTTGGATATAGGGCCGCTACAAACTATAAAAGATAATTGAACTACCTCAAAAAATAAGAATTTGTTAAAAATTACAAAGCAAGGGGGGAGGATTAAGAAAAAGACCCCTGTTGGTGCAATAGTTAAGCACTTGGATGCTGATGGAAAGCTTGGTAACTGATAGCCATCTATTGCTTCCACAGGAGAAATATCTGGAAATCTGTTTCTGTCAAGATTACACCTGAGAAGACTTGACAGGATAGTTGTACTCTCATATAACTTCAGGAAGGGTTAAAAATAAGACAAACTGCAAAGTGAGAGAAGATATTTGCAAGGGCTATATGTGTCAAGGGATTAGTAATGAGAATATATAAAGAATTCCTAGAATAAGCAAAAAGAGAAAAAAAAGTCAAAACTTAAAACCAGGTATTGTCCAGTTAGCTATGATTTATAGGGATCCCGTGTGTTCACAGCAGACTGTGCTCCACAGCATTTTCAAAGGCTGACTTTTGGAAGTCGACTGCCTGGCATTTCTTCTGAGGTGCTCTGGGTAGATTGGAATCTCCAACCTTGTTGGTTAGCAGCTGAGATCCTTACCCATTCGCACCACTCAGGGACTCTAGTAAAATGATAAACAATAATTCATTTAAAAAGCAAATGACATGAACAAAAATTCTGTAAAGGAACGAATGATCTAAAAGCATACAAAAAAGATATTTAGGGGAAAATATCTAACAACTACAAATTCAGTTATTAGAAATAGTAAATTATACCCACCAGACTGATAAAAATTTCAAAGTCCGATAATAGCAAGTTTTGCAGAAGATGTGGGGCAATAGGGTCTCTCTCACATTGCTGGTGGGAGTGCAAGTTATTACAACAACTTTGGAAACAACTTAGCATTTTCTAGAAACTTTGATGTTACGTATATCCTGTGATTATACCAACTTCACTCCTAGAAACTTACACAAGTATATCAAGAACAAATTTAAAAAAGATTGTAGGAACATTGTCTTAGCAAAGATATTGGAAAAACTCAATTTCCACTTACAGGAGAATTGACAAGCAGTAGTAAATATGAAGAAATGCAGCCATATGCATTGACATGGATAAATCTCACAAACATAATGCTGACAACAGAAAACAAGACAAATGATACATACAGTTTGATTACACTTAAAAAGAGGTAAAAATGATATAACATCAAATAATTTATTCAGGGAGCTATAGATAGATATAGATATATAAATTTATTTATATAAATTAATTTAGTAATTTATTTAGAAAGATATAGATAAATATAGGATATATATATATAAAGATATATAAAAAGAGATAGATAAAAGCAAAGGGATAAGTAAAGGAATTATGGCATTCATTGTCCTGATGGAAGCTGAAGTAAAAATGGATGAGAATAGAAGAAAGCACACAGATAATACCCAAGGAGCTGTTCTTTTTTGAAAATATTATGCCCTTCATATTATAATTTTTTTACAAGCATTTAATATTTACAAGGAGCCCTCATGGCATAGTTTATAATGAATTGGGCCATGACCTGAAAGGTTGGCCATTTGAATCCACTCAGTAGAAAGAAGGGTGGTCTTCTCCCATAAAGCTTTGCAGCCTCAGAAACCCGAGGGAGGGTTACTATGAGTGGGAACTGACTCAATGGAAATAGGTATTTAGTATTTAATAGAAAAGATAGGTTTTTTGCTGTGTTTAAACAGGTCTAAAATATTTTGGCCTGTCTAAAATTTTTCAGAAGACCAGAAACCCAAAACCAAACCTGGTTTCATGGAGCTGATTCCAAGTCACAGTGATTTTCTCAGACAAAGCAGAACTACCCACAGAGTGTCAAGGCTGCAAACCTTTATGGAAGCAGATTATCATCTTTTTCCCATGGAGTGGCTAATGGGTTAGCAGTCAAAATGTTTAAAACCATAAACATAATACACTATTATGCTGTGTGTTTATGAATTTTATTTTTTTTTTACTATAAAGAGGAGATTTTTCAGTCACCACCAATTCTGCCCCCTATTGTCCAGAAGGGACATTTGGCAAGGTCTAGAGACATTTTGATTGGCACAATTGGCTGGGTGCTAAGAGAAGCAGGTGGGGTAGCAGGGAGGCCGATAAAGTGTCTAGAGAGTAACAGAACATCACTCATAACAAAGAATTACCCTGAAGATGTTAACAACGCTACTGTTAAGAAACCACAAGAAGGAGAGGATCTTAGGAATAGAAGATACTGTATCACAGAATAGAAAATATTAATCCAGAGATTATTTGGAGAATGAAGAATGAAAGTGTGAAAATTAAATAAACAGTTAAAGACATCTTAGACTAGAAACAGAGAAAAGAGCAAATACTAAATTTGCTATTTTTACATGTCCCATTGCTAAAGCAAGGCTTGTAGTCAGGAAAGTCTTTCATAGAGTACGTTCAAATAAGTTCTAATTTAAATAGAAAAATAAGAGCTAGAGTGATCATTGATAGCACCTGATTGTTATCTAAGACAAGGGTTTTGTGTATCTTAGCATTTCTTCTAAGAGAATTTCTAATTTTTTGTGTTTTAATTGTTTCTTAAAGTGCTCAGAGTATATCTTTTTATTTTTATGTTTAAAGATAAATTAAGCAGATTCTACACATTGAACTTGTTCCTTGAGATATTTGAGATGAATAAATTGTCATGACTCAGGACTAAATACCATTCAAATGTAACATCTTTACCAATGATAAAGAGGTTAAAAATACCACGAACCTTCTATTTGTTCATAGGACAAATACATGCATACAGCATATCTAAGAAATTCACACGCACTGAGCAATGAAACACACACCTCACACACAAACCAGGTTTTATAATTTCATGTTTAAAATCAACTAAGCAATTCTTCTCATGATGGATCTTATATTAAAGGTATGTTTGTTTCATTATTTATGTCTTGGGGGTATTTAACCACCGATACAGGGCTGGTTTGTTTTTGGTTTTGTGTTGGATGATTTACAGTCATCCAGCAGGCTTCTAAAGGAATAATTTTAAACTTCTCATGCCTGTAGAATCCAGGAAGTCAACAAAAAATACTGGGAGGATGGTGGTCCTCTGTTCAAATACTCCCAATCACTGAATGACCAAAGGATTTCAGTTTTTTTAATTAAAAAAAAAGTAAAATAAAAATAAAGGCCTGATTACCATATTGTCTCAATTTTTATATGTGGAAAAGTAATTTTTAAAATAATAAAAGTTTTCTATATCATAATAAGTAGGTTGGCTGTTTTCCTGGAAGGTGTTACTATAAAGTTTTGTTATATAAATAGAGTTTTGTTACCTCATCAGGTGAAATCTAAGGTAAAAACGTTACTGAAAGCAACCTGTGCAATTGTATTCCAAGTGGGAGATATTCCAAAACATGATATGATATCTATGATATATTCAGTTTGTGACTCAGAGAACAGATCTTTCTTTCTGTTCTCTTGATAGTTGAGATGCAGAAAAATTTCAGTTATCGAACAGTAATGGAGCAAGTGTTACCTGTTCCTTTCTTGCAGGTATAGGTGAGATGGTAATTGCAGGGAACATCATTCCACTGGCCGTTCTCATGCCAGATAATGACAACACAATCTTCACCAGAGGAAAAGAAGCTGTCTGGTTGGTTGGGCCTCCAGTTCTCATATTGCTGTAAGAAAAGGAGAAGACAACTACTTTATAACCAAAAAGTAACAAATCATTGGCGTCCCTGGGTGGTGCAAATGGTTAAGCACTTGAGTGGCAGTTCAGACCTACCAGAGGACAGGCCTGGTGATGCGTAGCCAAATGGTCACAGCCACCAGGCACCCAATGCAGCAGTTCTACCGACAACCCCATGGACTCTTCCAAAGTGGGAATTGACTCAATGGCAACCAACAAGATACCATATGTTAAAGAGTGACACCAGCATAACATCAGACTTGTATAAGAATGGACTCAACAATTTTTGTTGGACCACCTAGTGGTGGTAAAGAAAGAGAAAGAAAATTTTCAATCCTGAGTGTAAAAAAAGGAAAAAAAAGTGTATTGGATATTTTTTTCAAAGTCTCTCTTTAATAAATATCTTTTTGTTTTCCCGCCTGTCAATTTTTTATATCTGAAGAATTTGGAGAGGAGGATGTGGATTGGAAAATAAGTAAGGTGGTACAGTGGGCAAACACTTGGCTGCTAAATAAAAGATCGGAAGCTTGTACTCATTAGCTGCTCTGTGGGAGAAAGATACAGCACATTGTATCAAGTGAACTAACTCTGTCTCATAAGGACAAATACTGCATAAGACTGCCATTATACAATTAGAGGGATGACTACTAAAATGTGTATAAAAATCCAAAAGGGAAAGAGGAGGGCAGTGGGGAGTAGTTAGGGGGAATTAGGAGAGATTCATTAGGATGACAGAGTTTGGTGGGTGGAGGGAAGGGGTGAAGGAATTAGGAAAGATCCAATGGGTACCTGAAAAGATTGGCTATAGCAGGTATAGATTTATGGTGATTAATGTTATCAAATACAATGCATATGAAACACAATGTGAATGAAAGAATGTGTTAAATACAATGTACATGAATGAAACACAATGTATACCAATTCTGTTTGAAAATCAATATAAAATAAAAATAAAAGTGGTGAAACCCCACTCTAGGGTCTCTATGACTTGGAAGTGACTTGGTAACAGGTTTACTTTGAGTTCTGGGGGTTCAAACCAGCTCTCTCTTAGCTAGCAGTGAATGCTTAACTACTGTACCAGAGGGCTCCTTCTACACATTGTAGATTTATGAATAGATAGTAAATCTTTAATAATGTTGTCATGTTATCATTATTAATTATAGCAATATTAATGAAAGTGGAACTAAAGAAGACTCTAATCTCGCCATCCCAAACCCTTGTTTTCTCCTACCTTTTACATGTGCCTATAATTTTATATGGTTGTGATTATAGTGCACTAAAATTTTTATTCCTCCTTCTCTTATCTTTATTACTATAGAGTAACTTTCTTTATCTTGTGTAATGTAATAATATAATTAAGTTTGTGGCTGTGGGAGAAAAACGTGAAACCAAACCAAAGACACTCACAAAAAAACCCACTGCAAAATAAAACTAAAACCAAACTTGGTTTCTTGGTCTGATGATGCTGTTATTGCCATCAAGTCTACTATGACTCACCCCACAAACAGATCAGAACCTTGCCCTATCTTATGCCATCCTTATAAATGCCAGCATGCTCACTGTTACAGTCATTATGCCAATCTATCTTGTGGAAAGCCTTTCTGTCACTGAGTCTACTTTCCCCAACTGTTCAGATACAAACTGGCAAAATCCTCAAACCCATGGCACTTATCTGGTGGTCGAGTGGTAAGACCCTGTGCTGGAATTCCAAAAAAGTGTAGTCCAAGGCCACCAGCTGCTCCTAGGGAAAAGGATAGGCAATCTCCTTCCCTGTAATTAACTGCCTCTAAAAACCTGCAGATAGCTAAGTTATGGGTCAGTTTCGATGCAACAGCACACAAGTCACCCTCCAGGTGACTCTGAAATTCAACTCACCGCTATGGCTCAACTTTCAAACAACAGACAGGCCTATACAGTCAGTGACCAATACCAGCGAGGTACAAATTCCTTAAAATAATCCATCATACAAGACCAAAATAGCAGCATTTGTCCAAGAATATAACACAAGATGGCAGGAAGGATAGTTTAAAAAAAAAAGAGCAAGTGAAGAGAGGGCACAAGTAAGGGTATAGGAAGAATATGGTTGTTTTGTGTGGATTGTAATCCATGCAAAAAACCAAACATACAAAAACCAAAAATACAACAACATAATATGTAAAAATTGTTAAATTAAGAAAACTTTTACTCAAAAATCAGCTAAAAGTTAATAAGTTTGTGGTTTAAAATAGTTAGCTAAGATATTTTATTTAGGATAAAGTCAGAGAAGAATCATTATCTTAATCCATACATAAACATGATTCTTCTATGATTTTATCTCAAATAAAATATCTTAGGGCCATGAATTTGAGGATTTTGCCAGTTTCCAGAAAATCAAAAGATGAATTGCATTAGGAAAGTCTGCTGTCAGGGACATCTCCAGAGTACTGAGGAGCAACGATATCAGTCTGGAGACCAAGGTGCGGAGGCCATGGTATTTGCAATTATGTGCTATGATGACTAGGGAGGAGAGAAGGAGAATTGATGCCTTTGAGATGTGGTGATAGAGAAGAGTATTGAGTATACCGTGTTAAGAGGACAAACAGTTTCGTACTGGAGAGGGTGAAACCAGGTCACTCCTTGGAGGCAAGGATTCTGAGGCTTCGTCTGACATACTTGGGCATGTTGCAAGGAGAGAACAGCCTTTGGAAAGGGCTGTCATGCTTGGGAGGGTGGAGGGACAGCATGGGAGGGGAAAATCCTGAATGAGATGGATTGACTCAGTGACTGGAGTAATGGGGGTAGATGAGTCAGAGACGATGAGGTTGACTCAGCGTAGAGGAGGGTTCAGAGGTGTTGTACATAGGGTTGCTATGAGTTGCAGGTGACTCAACGGAACATAACAACAACAACAACATTCAAAGAATAAAAAAAAGCTTACTATTAATACCTAAAATATTACAGTTTCTAAGCCTACATTATACATACACTAGACATTGACCCATTTTTTTTTGGTCTTTGTGGGAAAAAGAGTTGTTTTTTTAAAAAATTAAATATAATAAAAATAGGGATCAATGATATCATTAACATAATAATTTGTTAAAACAACCTAAAAATGGTAAACTTCAAGTTGGAGCTTAATGAATCTTTTCTTTTTTCCTTCAGTTTCCTTGCTGCAGTTTACTTTTATGTTCTCCTCAATCACGCCAAAACTAAGATATAAGAAATTCCTATGTAAAAAGAAGCTTTATAGGGTGATAAAACTGCGAAAAGCCAAGAGGAGCTTAAGAAATCTGCTTTCTTTTCCAAAACTGAGGTCTAAGAGTGTCTCTCTGCCTGTGGTGGAAAAAGCAATCCAGACAAGAGCAGGACTTCAGTCTGACTCTGGATGGCACCAGTGTGTTGTCAGACAGCTGACTCCCCACCAGCCCCTTCCTGCCAGGTCCCCCTGCTGCCAAGAGCTGGCATTTGTTCCAAATATGTTTCTAATTCTTGCTCTATTTTCCTTTCCTTTTCTTATTTCCTCTCCGTTGTCATCTTGAAGACTCCAGCAAAAACGTTTTCTTCTAACTACTCTTTTTTAACAGATAACAGACAAGAAAATGAGTCAACAAATCAAATGAGGTCCTAGTCACACTCAGCTGGCTCCTGACTTCCAACAAAGTTGCCTTTGACAGACAAATTAAAAGCAGAAAGAAATTTTTAAAAGTCCAAAAGAAGAGAAATTCATTAAAACCAACAAAATTTAAATTTACTACCTTCTATGGGCAAAAATTTGCAGTTTTTTTAAACACTTAATTTGGATTTTAGAGCAAAATATTTTTCAGGCTGTAACTAACCTCCTTTAGCAAGCCAGTAAAATATCCTTAAAGGTAGAAGATTTCTCAACCTTCAATAGTGCATGCAAACACATTTGAAATGACTCCCACCTCCTCGCTGTTCACCACACTGCCCCTCTCCTTCTCTTGCTTCATTTGTCTTCATTTACACTTCACATCCGTCTCCTATAATTTATTTCTGTATCTAATTTTCCACCCTAACATAACAGAAGCTTTGTGGGCACAAGGGTCTTTATTTTGTTTACTGTTGTCGTCTCAGTTACAGGAACCCTATCTGACCAATACCAGGTGTGGCTTAAGAAATAGTTTGAAATAATTAAAAGCAATGAGCCTCCAAAGGTCTGGCACACATCCCCACCCACCCAGGCTCACAATAAAAAATGGTATGGTCTGCCCTGAAATGACAGGGCAGACTGGCACTGAGCAGAATGGGGTGGAACTTCTCAGACTCACATGAACGGTTTTTCCTGTTGCTAGTGTAGCACAAGTGTTGCCACTCATCTTGACACACGATGGCTAGCACCACAGGCTAGCTGGATAACGGCAACATTTGAACTACTTCAATAGCAACCGGTGGTGGGGAATCTGCAAGTAATCAGGCATGTGAAGTTCAAACCTGTGATGTTCGAAGGCCCACTGTGCACTGTCGTTTTGGAAAAGAGTTGGCAATGCCTATGTCCACATCCTTAAAGAGCACTTAGTGTCCAGCAATTCTACAGCTCCTCAAACTCTATCCTCAAAAGCATTCAGAGTGCATTTGATAAGGCAGTATTTGTTGTAGAAGTAATTGGAAACCTTAATAAGATGAACATGTTGTTGTTAAGTGCCGTTGAGTCGTAGGCGACTCATAGCGACCCTATGAACGAAAGTCCTTGACACTTGCATGACCTTCATCCTTTCTCCAGGTTCATAGGGTTTCCGGAGGCAGGCTATTTATGGAAGTGGATGGCACGCCTGCTTCCAAGCTTGTTTTAACAGGGGAGCATCACCAAACACTGTCCATCATGGGTAACTTTTATTGCATTTGACATGTGAGTGTCACAGTGTTCAGCTTCACAGCGACCACAAGTTATCTCTGTATGGCAAGTGGACACACCAGGGCTATACGACCTAGAAGAATGTTTCACCAAAAACAATTAAAGACAGACCTTAGGGCCATGGATTAGATGAACAT